CCCACCCCAAACCCCCCACCAAGAAGAAGGAAAAATATGGAGTCTAAGAGCCCGTTTGGACATAAATTTTTTTTCCCTTTTTTCCAAAAAAGTTTCACTTTTTTCCCTAAATCAGCGTTTGTTCATAAAATTTTCAATTTTCATTTGAAGATACATTTTAAAAAATTTCAAAAATTTAAAAAAACTCCAAAAAGTTATTTTTCAAAATTTTCACTTAAATCACTCACAAAACTTCTAAAACAACCCAAAATTATATTCATGTCCAAACACAACTCTAAATTTCAAATACCATTTTCACTTGAAAAATAATTTTTCCCTATTTTGAAATTTTACAATTCTTATGTCCAAACGCCCACTAAATTTCTAAATATGGATTGTGTAAAAAATATTTACACGATTAGATTATCTAAAAGATCATACAAGTAAGCATTTAAGAATGTGGCTTAGCAATAGGTAGAGTTTTTCATTTGCATAAGTAGAGTTATTCGATATTTGTGCTGATAAATATAAATACCCGATTGAATAGCTAAGATATGCGTAAGCTGATTCGGACATTAGTTGAATTCTTAAATCTTTTTTTTTCTTAAATGAGACTTAGTAACATGGAGGTTGACAGAACAACCTTCTATAACATGTTTAAACACGTCCTTACACCCAAAGTGTATATAGGTTAAATCAAAAAAAAAAATGACATTTTTTCATGTTGGAACTTGAACGGTTTCAAGTGGAATTTGTTTGTTGTCCCGGCCAAAAATATAAATTTTCATTTTGCTCTCTTTCAATTGCTTAGCGATCTTAATTAGTCTATATTTTTTTGGAAAATTTCGAAGGGAAACCGTGGCCGCTACTCTTTGAGTGTACGCTGGATAACTTGTTCATTATCCAATATCTCACAAATTGCATAGGAGATGTAAAATCGCACTAGGCAAGTTCGGTGCGACGAGTTCTGACCGGAGAAATTGCTAGTGATGGGAATCAATCCCAAGTCTCTCTCACGTGAGAAACCACTCACCCAACCAACTCAACCAACCTTTGCGCGCTTAATTAGCCTAGATTAATTGATTGTATTCTTAAAATAATTCATCTCTGACAAACTCAAGATTAAGTATACTTAACATAATGATGTACCGACTGAAACTCAATTAGAACACGTTATTCCGACAAATGGCAAGCTATGTAGTATATTTCATGTCAAACTGAGACCAAGTAAATCTCAGTTTGATATAAGTAATTTAATTTCATATTCTAATCTAACTACTATGGATCAAAACTAAGATCTGAAAGTAGTAATAGTAGTACCAAGTGGGACCCTGAAATGTCTTGAAACCAGACAATTTTCTTGCCAAACATACCTAACATATCACCTGTCCTAAAATTCTGGAACATGTGATGTTGCATTTATTTTAAACTACGGTATGGGTATATCAAAATCAGATATTCTAGTTTGTATTGGCTCTAAAGCATGGCGGAAGCACAAGTGGAGTTACGAGTTTAATCGAATTTAATAGTTTTTATTCAAATAGTGTATTGGTATTAAGAAATTTATTAAAATATATATAAATATTAAATTTAGAATTCAGTCATTAACACTTAAATTATCCTTCTAAAATTCAGAACTATTGAAATTCTTGCTCAGCCGGTGTTCCAAAGCCCTCATCGCATCAAAAGATGTTTTACTTTCACGGGATTTGGATTTATAACTCTGAAGTGATTTCTCTTTTCAATTATTCTTCAAAATAGGCTATTTTATAGTGAAACTTTAGTTACAGAAAACCTCTCGTTTCCTTAAAATAGAAATTATTGGAATAATTGAAATAGAATGATCCTCAAAATTGTGAGATGAATATGAAGAATTCATATACCTAACACCAACTAGTTTGACTCCATATATATAACCAACAGAATTAATTTGACCTTAAATGTAGTTGATTGATTGATAAAGATATTTTTTTTTACAATATGGAAGATAATTTTTAGTGTTGAAAGCAAGTATATGTTCACATTCCACAAGGAGATCTAGCAATAAGAAAATCTTACTAAGTGGAGAAGCAATTAATTGAATTGCAAGATAATTTATTTGAAAAAAGAGAGATTATACTTTCTTATTGGTTTTTATCATAAAATCACATGTAATTCTCCATCAATTAGTCATGACACATGGGGCAGTTGAATGGATAATATGTACAAAGGTCAAAATAAGAATATGGTTAATTATAAAAATTTGTTGGCAACTGTACAAAGGTCAAAATAAGAATATGGTTAATTATAAAAATTTGTTGGCAACTGTACAAAGGTCAAAATAAGAATATGGTTAATTATAAAAATTTGTTGGCAACCACTAATCATTATTCTATTGTACAATTTATTTCTTTGTCAAATGCCAAGGCCATAAAGTGGTTATGGCAAGAATGTGCCATAATTCAACGTCTAAACAATAATAACCGTGTGCATTGTCATAATCATTCATATATATTTTTATTTCCTATTATTAAAAAGTGCATGAAATATGTGATAGAAATAAATCATGTAATTTGCATAATTTATAGGTATTTCCTATCTATTGTAATTATATGCGCACACTACAACAAAATGTATATGTAGCTACTAAATCTAAGCTACATATCTAAATTTCGTAGCTATTACTCAATAATAGCCACAAAAATTCGAATTTTGTGGCTATCTACAAATTCTTAAAATTTCTTAGCCACAAAACTAAATTTACAAAGCTAATTCATTATTTTTGCTATAATTACTAATTTTCATGATAATAACTACCTAAACAGCTACAAACTTATTGCTACAGTAAAATTTCATAGCTAATCATAAGTTTTTGCCACGGGTAAAAATTACTGTAGCAATAGTATACTTTTAGCCACAATAAATTTTTTGAAATAAATTATTGTAGCTAAATAAATATTTTTGCTTCAAGTTATAAAATATTGTGGCAATAGTTGGCTTAATAGCTACGATTTTTGAAATAAATTATTGTAGCTAAATAAATATTTTTGCTTCAAGTTATAAAATATTGTGGCAATAGTTGGCTTAATAGCTACGATTATTTGTCATGACAAACTAATATAGCCACAAATATTTTGATATGATAAGCTTTCATAGCTAATCAATAGTTTTTGCCACAGGCTGAAACTTACTGTAGCAAAATAATTTTTTTAGTCACAATAAATTATTTAACTTAAAATGTTGTAGTTGAGCAAACAATTTTGCTTCAATTTTTAAATAAATCGTGGCAATAGTCGGCTAAATAACTACAATTATTTGTCATAAATGATATAGCCACATATTTATTATTGTGGTGAAATTTTATAGCTATTAATAAGTTTTTGCAATGACTCGAAGCTTCATGTAACAATAATAACATTTTAGTCACATTAAATCAGTTAAAACACAATCTTGTAGTTAATTGATATTTTTGCTTCAAGGTTAAAAAAAACGATACAAATAGTTAGCTTAACAGTTCCAATTATTTGTCATGACAAAATGAATAGTAGACAATTACCTTTCATAATTGACCATAACTATATATATTGTCATACATTTGAGGTTATCATTGCAGTAATAATATGTTAACTATAATAAATTAGCTGCAAAAACATTTGTAGAAGAATTCTTTTACTTCGACTATGAAAGTCATGACAAGAGTTAGTCTAAAAATTATATGCAGTTATGAAAAAATAATTTCATATAGAAATTTGGAAAAACAAGAATGTATATAACTTGAAGAATTAATTAACTTCTAAATAAGAAAGATTAAAATGAAAAATATCTTCAATCTTAAAATAGAATTTAAGC